TAAAGCGTCTAGCATTGGTACCCCAAGTTTTTGCATCTGTCCTAGGAGATAACTTTGCAAATAGTAAATTCCAGAATTAGAAGTTAGTATTGGTAGATTTGTGTTACTCCTATTCCATGCCCTGAATTAGAATTTTATGATAATAACCCTCCTCCCCTGGTAAATAATCTAACTGAGAAACTAAGTCTATTTAACCACTCACACTTTAAAATAGATGCATTATCCAAAGAGATGCTGTAGGGAATTAATTATTGATATCATAATACTGAAGCATCGCTCGATAAATGTATAGCTCTTTGAAAAATCTATAAAATTGTTTCTGAAGGAGTTGATTTCTTAAAAATGTCTTATATTAAATGGAGAAAAGCAATAAAATATCTGTCAAAATAATGCAATGCTTGATTGATGAAGGTTTTGTCTAGAATGTTTTATTTTTACTTTACATTTTTGTTTTTTAGCTCCGCTGTCGACTTTGTCAAGCGGGGCTTCAAAAAAAGAGTGATTGTCAGACGCCATCGTCTGTGTCAACTTTTTATATTTTCAATTTCTTCTTGAAAACTACAAGTTTGAATGCTTTGATACTAGATGTATATGTACCTTGGGCAAACTCTCTCAGATTTGTTAATTTCGTGATGTTAACTTCAATTCTCTAATTTTGATGAATTTTTTTGTCATTTTGGGTAAAAAATTATTTTTTCAACTTCTTTTTGAAAACTGCAAGTCTGATTGCTTTGATACAATGTACTATACATATTCATTTTTTAATGATATTTTCTGTTCTTTAATTGGAATGAGCATTGCCAACAGCGGAGCTATCTCAGCCAACAGGCTGCTGTTGTTGTTTTTTGCAGCTTGTAAATAACTTAGGTACCAGCATTATGATGTACTTCTGTCACATTTTTAGTGCCAGTAATTTTTCTGCTAAAATTTGTAAGGCAATATTTGGCAATATTTTCGTGTTTTTAAAATATTATTTATCTTGTTGAAGGTGACAAAAGTAGACTTTAAAGCTCAAAGGTATATTTCATAAAATTAATACATATGGATATAAATAAGTGTCATAAATTAGAGTTAGTAAATCCTAACTATTTGCATCCTTCAGTTACGATACTAAATAAATGTAAACACTGTAACGTACTAAAAGTTAAAAAAAATGTTTTCACTATAAATTTGTGAAATACTTGTATGCTAAGGTAAAGTAAAATAAATTCTGTGTTTCTGTGTTCATTTTGGTAGGAAAATGAAAAAGCTTATTTTATGCAGACGAACTCAAAATTATTTTGTATTACTATACAAGTTAGGGTACTTCCACCATTGTACTGTACTGTACTGCCTACTACATGTATGTAGTTAGTGAACGACTGGTTCCTACTTAACCTTTGCACCACTAGACTTTCTTGCCCAAATTTGTCTGTACTTTCTTCAGTATTTCTGGAAATAAACCCTAATTTTGGAGCCGACAGATAACATTTTAGTCAAATTTTCAGTTTGTACTAAAAAAATGTGTCTATTTTTGTTCCAATCTTCTGAAAGAAATTTATTTTCACTGATTTTTAACGAGTTGAATGTAGAATATAGGAACAACAATCTATTCGCTGGATTTTATCTTCACTGAATCCTTCCTTCAGCAACAATAGTATGGTAGTCAGGAACATCGTCATTTAAAAAAAAAAAATTGTATACAGAAAATCCCAATATTTAATAATGCACTGCAGGACAGGTTGTTTATTTCAATGTATGCTGTACACACATCATTGTGGTGAATAAATAGAATGGTTAGAATCATAACTTGAAATTGATCTAATTTTTAGGATGACATTTTTGCCCCCACCCCACATTTAAATAATTGTGTACAATGTGTGCTCTTCATTCGCAGGCCTTATGTACTACTGTACAAACAAACAAACACATAATATTGAATCTTAGCACTGTTCTCAACACCGAAAATAAATCTTATTTGTACTTGTTCATTTTTTCCATAAAATGACATTTGTTACTGTAGAATATTATTCAAAAAATTAAGAGAAATTTTTAATAATTAAATTGACTAAATATTCCTGGGAAGTCTACCACAGCTTGATGACTGATGCCAATGTGTATTTATAGTCACAGTAGACATGCTGGATGATTGAGCTAATGGAAACTATGTTACAGGTAACTGAAGTACAATCACATGGAGGAATTACAGCGATGTAATTTGATTTTACCCCTCGGAACTACTTGTAATACGTATTCAGTCGATTGAAAAAAAGGTAGTTGAGATTTATTCAATTTATTGATTTTCTGTGCAGTGCAGGTTATTTATTAGACGTAATAGAATGGTGGTTAACAATGGATTGTAAGATGGTAATTCAATTGAATATGGATTTTATGAACATCAGCCTATGTCAATTATTCACAGCTTTTTAATTTTATTGTTTTCACAGATAAGTGAAGTTCGCTAGATTAAACCCATGTGAACATGTAAAATGACAATAGAACTCATTTTTTTCCTGCCAAGTTTGTGAACTTAAAACCGAGTGAAAATGCTCAAAACATGAAAATAGTGAAAATAATTTTACAGTATAGTGAAAAAATGTGTAAATATACACCGAACATTTTTTATCAGACAATTAGATGCTGTTTTTTTCCTATCCCAGAAATTTGCCTTTGATGTGCAAATTTGAGAAATAAGTATTTTATTTCTCCCTTTTTAGCTCCGCTGTCGACTTTGTCGATTGGAGCTTATCATATGAGTGATTGTCCTTTGGCGTCCGTCGTCCGTCGTCCGTGTCAATGTTTTACTTTTTCAACTTCTTCTTGAAAACTACAAGCCTGAATGCTTTGATACTTGGTGTTTATGTACCTTGGGTAGACCTCTCTCAGATTTGTTAATGTCATGATGATATCTTCAATTCTCTAATTTTGGTGAATATTTTTGTCATTTTTGGTAAAAAGTGATATTTTCGACTTCTTGTTAAAAAACGCAAATCCAATTGCTTTTATATTACATATATAGGTACTACATGTGGACCTCTCTCAGATTTGTTCATTTTGTTATGATATCTTTAATTCTCTAATTTTAGTGAATATTTTTGTCATTTTTGGTAAAAAGTGATATTTTCGACTTCTTGTTAAAAAACGCAAATCCAATTGCTTTTATATTACATATATAGGTACTACATGTGGACCTCTCTCAGATTTGTTCATTTTGTTATGATATCTTTAATTCTCTAATTTTAGTGAATATTTTTGTCATTTTTGGTAAAAAGTGATATTTTCGACTTATTGTTAAAAACCGCGAGCCCAATTGCTTTTATATTACATATATAGGTACTACATGTGGACCTCTCTCAGATTTGTTCATTTTGTGATGATATCTTTAATTCTCTAATTTTAGTGAATATTTTTGGTAAAAAGTGATATTTTCGACTTCTTGTTGAAAACCGCAAGTTCGATTGCTTTTATAATACATATATAGGTACTACTAGACTGGCGCAGTCGGGGCGATTAATTTGTTTTTGTAGTTTATATAAAATAAAAAAAATCGCGAAATGGTGGTGTTAGCGCAAAATCCCCTGTAACTGCGAAATCACCCCGACTGGTTTATATTGGCCCTCTATCGACACTGCAGGAACCCGTCGATTTTTCAACGGGTAATTATGTTAATGAGTGTTCTAATTGAAAATCATCTAAGCCAATCACAACGTCTCTTCAACTTACCTCTGACGGAGAAGATGACTACTACTACGACTAGTACGAGGTACTTTTTAAGTCTATTGACGACGACCACGACAAACTCAAATTTCAACGTGTAGCCATGTTGGGTCTGCAATGTGACCTTTACCATGTTGACCTCATTATGCACGTATTTCCGCGCCCACCTCATTATAATATGTGCATCATGAATATTTAATAGCAATGAATTTCCTGCAGAATAAACCAGTCGGGGTAATTTCGCGCTAACTCTTTCATTTCGCGAATTTTTTTATTTTATTTAAACAAAAAAAAAAAAACTAATCATCCTGACTCCGCCAGTCTAAGGTACTACATGTGGACCTCTTTCAGATTTGTTAATTTCGTTGTGAAATCTTCAATTATTTAATTTTGATGATTATTTTTGTCATTTTTGGTGAAAAGTGATATTTTTGACTTCTTGTTGAAAACCAAGTCCGATTGCTTTTATATTACATATATACGTACTACGTGTGGACTTCTTTCAGATTTGTCCTGTTGCTTTTTATATATATATATATTGTTCATTTTCTAATGATATCTTCAGTTCTTTAATTGTAATGTGCATTGCTATCAGCGGAGCTATCTCAGCCGAGAGGCTGCTTGTTTGCTTTACTGTTTGCTCTCAAAAAAATTGTATGCCTTATTTTTTTTCACCATAAATTTTTTATAAATGACACTTTGTCTTGAAAACTAGTATTTGAAAAGTGATATTTTTGACTTCTTGTTGAAAACCAAGTCCGATTGCTTTTATATTACATATATACGTACTACGTGTGGACTTCTTTCAGATTTGTCCTGTTGCTTTTTATATATATATATTGTTCATTTTCTAATGATATCTTCAGTTCTTTAATTGTAATGTGCATTGCTATCAGCGGAGCTATCTCAGCCGAGAGGCTGCTTGTTTGCTTTACTGTTTGCTCTCAAAAAAATTGTATGCCTTATTTTTTTCACCATAATTTTTTTATAAATGACACTTTGTCTTGAAAACTAGTATTTGAATTGTTTCCATATAGAAGTTCTGGTATTACCTCATTCCAAGTTGTTTATTTTTTGTTATTCCATATTTAATGAATATTTGTTGTGATTTTTGGTCAACATTATTTAAGACATGGTTATCGTGACTGGCAGCAATTATTCAGTGTATTGTTAAGAATATTATATTATGTACTGGTATATACACACACGAGTTTGCTCAGTCTTAGCATGTACAGTTTATTTTTAATGTTCTTTCTTATCATTCACTTTCAGTTTCATTAATGCTAGTAATTCTTTTATTTCAGAGTGTGCTGAAACTGAGCCAACAAGAGCCCCAATTCTGGATCCTCCTAGTGACTTTCCGGTACCGTTACCACAGATCCTACCTTCGCCTGTAGTTGACTTGGACACTGACAGCTCACAGAGTAGCTTTGGATCACTTCTACATTCGAATGATAGTCTAGCAAGTGGCGAAGGTTTAGTTTCTCGTATTATTCCAGGAATATTACCCGTGCCCTTTCATGAGATCTGTGGTCTAAACGTACTTTTGAATCCAAGTAAAATCCAAGCACGGAGAATAGATGGGGAGTTTCAAAATGGTTTAGTCTTCCTAAGTCAACCAGTACATGCCGGTGAACTTGTCGTTATTGAAGTTTTAGAAACCACACCTAGGTACTTGGGTTGCTTGGCAGTTGGTGTGACATCCTGTGATCCGGCTGTTTTGACACCGTCGATGCTACCAGAGGACTCGGAGGATCTGTATGATCGACAGGAGTACTGGGCACTTAGTAGAGATATAGCATTGCCAGATAGTGGGGACCAATTAAGTTTTATTATAAACCCTGACGGGGAAGTACATTATCATGAAAACGGAATACATCGACGTGTTCTCATGCATGTGGATATTTCTCAGCCACTTTGGATGCTCTTCGACGTCTATGGAAGTACTCAAAAAATCAAAATTTTAGGTAAGGACAATTTTATGTTTTCTGTATGTCACTGGTATGAATTCTTGCTATTGAATATATAGTCAATAGCCGTTTAGTTTTACTGGTCATGCCCACGCAAACTCCACTGACCTTCAACATGTTTATACTGGTCTCAGGAAATAGATGTTTCCACCCGCAACTCATGCTGTTTATAGCCTGTTCTTGTTAAGAACCCGCCTTTACTTGAATGATCTATTTTTTAACAACTGTATATGTTAATACTTACTGATGTAAGTGATATTCTGAGTACCAGCAGAATTCAGTTTTCTTTGCATGACGTTACTGGTTGGCGAAAACCAATTATTTGCATAAAATAAGGCGTTGTTCACTGCTCTTGTATAAAAATACATACATACAATGTACGTGTGTCCCTGTTGATAAAACAACGTTGTCACAGTAAAGCTTCAGATGATCCATGAACAAAATTTGTTATCAGACATTCACAACATTGGTTAAAAAAATGTAAACAAATGATGTCACAGTGCGATGACCAATTTAATACCCTCTACATTGTATATATATATATATATATTATTTGCAAAAGGTGTACATGTTCAAATTTATATTTTAGTAACAAATTTTTTCTGAGGTTATACTGTACTTTTTCTATCTGGAGTCAAGAGGTCCCAATTTTGTACATACATGTATTTATGTAATAAATTTTTCTTGAGATTTTTTCAGATTTTCAATTTTCCGTCTTGTGAACTACAACAGTGTACATGTATGTGGTTTTTGAAATATAAAGATGCTTTGTTTGCCGAGAATCCCCAGTGAGTCTATTGTCATGCTGTATTTTTCTGATGGTGTGAAAAGGTCAAACTGCTCGCAAGGACAATCAAACCAGGGCGGGCTATTGCAAATACTATCCAATTGTTATATATATATATATTGTGGAAGGTACACATAAAATGAATAAAGTGTTTGATGTTATTGCTGACCCTTATTCTATTTCACTTCCTTCCTTTCCAGGCATTGTACCAGTGAATTCTGCTACCACTCCGACGACAAGCATACGTACAAATTCTGCAGTTTTGGAAAATTCCCTAAATATACCAACGTTCCTTGATTTAAATATAAGCCCACTTCTACCGCGGAGAATCGGTAATATTCCGGATAGTGCCGGCCAGGATTTACATGATAGTGTGTCCGGTTTAGTTGGAACTGGTGCTAGCAGCGGTACAGCTGTGGGAAATTCTGGTGTTCCAAAGAGCGGGGAAGAGTGTGTGATCTGTTATGATAGACCGGTTGATTCAGTCATTTACACCTGTGGACACATGTGTCTATGTCACCCATGTGGTGTCAAACTCAAACAGCAGGCAGGGGCTGTCTGTCCCATCTGTCGATCAATCCTACGAGATGTCATAAAAACGTACAAGGCATGAGAATTGAGCAATTTTAACAGAAATTGTTGTTACCATGATGTTGAGAATACCATTTCTGCTTGAGATTTGAGACTACACGCAACAGTCTATTAATATCATGCAGAAGTATATTCTGTATTCATAACTTGTTATTCAGAAAAACACACAGCCATTCATATAGACATCTATGGCATCACTACTTTTATATAATAACCATGAATCTTCATAGACTTGTAGAAATTGATGGAACAGCAATATAGATACCAAGAGGTATATTGTGAGAATGTCATCCTATGATCAGCACTTTCAGAAATGACAGTATCTTTCCTTCAACTTTCAACTGACTCTGAGCTGGCCAAATTGCTATCCTATTCATTAGAGCTAAGGGTATCCTGATGTAGTTTAATTTTGTTGTAATATGTGGATTTTTGACACACACCTAGCTTATAGTTCATGTAACAAATCAATGCCATTCAAGCCTCTCTAAAACTACTTTGCCTTCTTAATCTCAGGGCGTGTGCAGATATATAAAAATAAAGAGCCCAGATGGACTTACCCACTCTTGAACCATATCTCTGTCTAGAATCACAATTTTAATAAAAAAAACAACAAGTCATTATTTATGATTTGACGCATTTATGAGCGAAGTGTGCAAAGCATTGTGAGTTATATACTACTACATGTATTACAATATCTTGGGAACTACTGATAGTATAGCACCACCTAGTGTTGATGAGCATATATTTTATAATTACCACTACATACAATGGAATATTAAACAATAAAGTGAGTTAAAATACTGAATACTAAAATAGTGTTTATTAAATTATGTCAACATTAAATTTATCAAACACCACAATAAAATCAGAAAAATTTACTTGCTGCAGTCAGTTTGGATACTTAGTTATTTTACTGTAAAGAAGTCAAATTAGTGCTTGAATTGCAAAATGGTAGCGTACATTGCCATTTTGCAGTATATAATAAAAACAATCCTACCTACAGAAGCCGGTCTGTGTACCAAAGTATAAACTGTGCTATGATGGGATTTCAATATTCAGTTCTGTTTTAGATCAATTTTAGAATAAATGGAATGTATGAAGCCAATCGAATGCATAAAACAACGCGTCAAATAAATAATGAAATTTCCATTATTTGTACCTTCACATTTGTATGGATTTAAATGTGCTAGTTTTCTGTTGTTGAAACAGAACAGTTTGTGTTACAATTTATGTTTTGTGCTCTATATGTCTGATATGTAAATAGATACTTGCTCTGAATATTGTTGGGACACTTCTATTTGTGGAAATAAAATGCAGTATATTTCATGCATAGTTGTTGCTTGTGACCTCGTTAGTGTAAATATGTGGGTTTAACTGTTGATTTTTCTTTTTTTTTTAACAAATTAATGTCAAACTTGTACTAAACAGGAACAGGGTCCAATATGGTATGTTACTTGTATTATAGAGGAAAATTATATGCTTCTCCAACGATGTATGAATATTTGAGAATCAAAATTACTACAATTCTTAGAAAAAAAAATGCAACTGTGAAAAGGAAATGAATGATATTTGGTCCTCTGGATTCATCATATCAAATGTTAAAGTACTTTGCTAGAAGTCTTTTTATAGAAATAATGTAATTTGGCTTTGTTCTCTACCAGGATTTATTAATATCCCGCATGAGTGAACACAATGATATCAGCTGTCTATAGGTAATAGATAGGTGTCATAAACTATATTAAATATTCTGATAGTGTTTAAATACGGATTTATCTTAATAAACAGTGCTTTGATTTAATGTTGGTGTAATTATGAAACTTTTTCTGGAAGTTGATGCAGCTGTTGGGGGGGGGGGACAAAAATTGGTTGATGTACCTGTTTTTGGAACAAAAATTTTATTTTTTGAAGAGTAAAATAGATATTCTGAAGATGTATGCATTTTGAGACTTTTCTTTTATTATTCTTGCCCATAAACAATTGGGTTTTCGTTGGTCATTAATACATGTACAATGTGTTTTATTGGTAAAAAGAACTGACTGAACTTTGTGTTTTCAGTTTTAATACAACAGTCTTGAACAAATTAAGTATACTTATGCAAATTACCCTATAGCACAATTCTATTTTTAACTTTAAAATTGATCTTCTGATGAATTTACAATAATGATGTACATTGTAGCTCTTGTACTGAGTGCCTGATTGCCATGAAAGTGGCATATTTTCTGAAACGTTGTCAAATCTCTTGGGTATGCATCTGCCATTGCTGCTGTTGTCGTTGTTAGCATTGTTGCGTTTGCGTGTTAACACTTAATTTTAATTTCAACATTGTCAAACTGGAATATATTATTAATCAATATAAAACCTTGGTCTTGTTAAATTTATTTTAATTTATCTTGTTGGTTTATTGTATGAAGATCAACTGTAATTTAAGTAGTACCGTATACGTGATTGTGTACATTCTTTTTTTTAAAAAAAAGTCAGATAAGTGTTTTTCTAATAAGATTTATGGAGGCATCAAATCAGGTACATCAGCCATATTTAATTGTCAATGACTAACATCATGCATGGAATTAGCTGTGAATGATTCCTCCACAATGTTTTATTATTGCTTTCACACATGTAAATAAAAGTGTGTCCTTCCATGTTTGAAAGGCACAGAATGAATGCAATGCCCTATTTTTCTTTGTGAATTCTTTTCTGGACAAGCCTAAATTAGTATTTTTTCATTGTGTTCTGAAATAGATGGGGGTGGGGATAACCTAAGCTGAAATTTGTGCTGGGTTCATTCTAAGAGACATTCATCTACATATTGCTGTTCAGTGTTGGCATAGTCCAGTGGCAAAAGAGAAACTCCACTCAGTGGAGAATATTCCAGTGCAATGATAATTCATGGATAAGAAACTCCACTCATTGTGATAAATATTTCAGTTCCACGTTTCCTTGTGGAAAATATTCCAGTTTTGATCCATAGGTCAGTTCAGTTCTACACTAATCCACGACAGAGTTACTTAACCCAGTATGAACAATATTGCAGTTCTAGAGGAGTGAATACTGTAAAACGTGTCTTCTTAGCTAAATGTAGCTAAGCTATAATTTCGCTAATTTAAGATGTCCCTAATTTAAAGGAAACATCAATTCAAACAACATTATGACCCCTAAAGGAAAAGCTCTACAAAAGTAGGAGAATGCAATTTACATTTTTTTTATATCACTTTTCATTCTCTAGATATTCAACTTTTTATCAGAATTTGTTATTCTGTTCATTACACGAGTCATGACATACTTGTAAGGGGACCTCTCCCCCTCAAATAAAATAAAAAAAATTTGAATGGTAGCGTTTGATAAACACGAAAACAGGGGTTTATTGTACCATAATAAAGGGTGTAGGCGCATAATTCAGAGTTTCGTTACCGACAGCCTGAGTTTCTGCATGTACGAGTTGTTCAGACTTATTGTAACTCGTAGGAATTCTATATTGGGGTAATGTTTTGTTTCATGACCAGGTATATCAAGCTAATTGACTAGTTTAGATTTCAGCTTTGTTTTGCAATCAGTGATCAAACCCTAGCGGGGAAAAACGTCAGTATTCGCCATTCTTATAAATTTAAAGGTCTCGTACAGAATAATGTACTAGTAAGAGATGCTATATAGCCAAACGCCCTCTATCGGCGATTTGTGGAGAGGTGGTTAAGGATGGGGCCCCATGCGATAATTGTTGGATGTACTTTGACATGTATTCCATTTCCCTAAATAATACCAAGTTGTAAATTTGAGAAAAAATTTAAATCAATCTCGAAATCGATTAGTTTTGCGATCCGCTTAAAGATGGTCGAATGGATGGTTTGTGCTAAAAATAATCGTCAATCATTTCTGTTATTCCGAAACAAGATTTCCATCGTCTATGGATGCATTTCGTTTAAAGTTGGTACATACATCGGACAGTATTGGACTTTGATCTGCGAGAAACAGCCATCAAAATGACAAGTGAACATTTTATTTTAACGATAGTTGGTCTAGAGAAATATCTGGCATGCCACGATCGTTCACTTTAAACAGTTCTTCATGTCGCACACTGCATGCATTCATTTGATACAATTCAACATGGCCAAAAAATTGCCATTTCAGTGTTCAAAATGCACAAAATTCCGGATCTCTGACAAGCTAAATTTGATTTGCTTTTAATGATAAATTGACAGTTATACCTACCTCATTCCTCAAATGTTCATTTGGTAAACTTGGTAATGCCATAGTTGGCAACATCTTAACGTCAGTTAAGAATTGAATTTCATTCGGCAGAACAGAATACGTATTCTCGTGTGTAATTTCACATGTATGTAAGTTATTTCCATGGCATATTTGTGTTGTTTCGCTTGTACTATTTAATGCACCAGTCACTTCTGCACTTCCAGTGATATTGTGTTGGTGAATACGTTTGACTGATTTGACATAAAGCTGTTAATGTCGTAGTTTTTGTTCGAAGAACCGATACGTACATGCGCACGTTTTCATGTAATGAATGGCAAAGGCAATATTTTTAGTTCCTGGTTCATTAGTGTCGTGTATAATATCTAAACCTACGCGTACTTGAATACGCGAACTGTTTTAAGAGATTAGATTCGCCAAGTATTCTTGTACTGTCGGAACAAATGTATATATACCCTGAACATCTGACCAATACTAGTATATAATTCCTACATGTGCGCCCTCTAGCGACGAGACTATTCTGTAACATTTGCATACTTATTAACAGCCGTCAAGGATTGAGGGACTTAAGAAGCAAACCATAGTTGTTCATCTATTGAAAAAGTTGAGGCATTTTTTTTGGCAATATTTATTTGAATGAAGAAGTTTAAAGAACAGTTGCGGGATATGCATAACACTCTAAATAGGCTAGTGTTCATGTGATAGGGATGAAGTTGCGAGAGTATTTTTCTGCCATTGTACAAATCACGGTCACGAGACCCAAGAATCGATTACAAGACCGCTAGCGTGGCCGTTACACACCCGAAGTGCGATTAGCTATGCGTGTCGTATATTAATGTTAGAGTACCGCCGTATTGCGACATTCCACCCCTTTTAGTGATGCATCCCCCAGACAATGATATCCATACAACCCCTCCGCGACTTCAGTGCACTGTTTTTCTCGCCATCTAATGATTGAGTGCTCGATGTTGAGCATCGTTGAAAAAAATTAGTTTAGCAAGAACAATTGGCCGCGAATTTAAATTGTTTTTTCCGTAGGCGAGTGAACGTGGCTTACGGTTATGGCACAACCTTTCCAAGAAATAGCCAACTTGATATATCGTAGTTAACTTGTCTAATTTCAGCGCAGTTGCACACAGCAGTCTCGCACAAGGTCTTCCAATTAATCTGTATGGACTGAAAACTTGAGTGATAGCCGTACGACAGAGGGCAGCACAATCCGTATCCAGTTCATAAAGATTAATGGGAAGACTTTGTACGAGATTGTTGTGCGCAACTGCGCTAAAATTTGACAAGTACGATTTTATCATATACCTTATTGGTGTAATTACAAGTTTTCCACGGCGCGACCTCTAGCACACGACGCAATTTAGAAGACTGGTTTGGTTTGGTTTGGTTTGGTTTTAATGAAAACCGGGCGCGCTGGGCCAGGAGTGAC